TTAGTCCTGTGGTAAATGTTATAGGGGATACCAAGATATGTAAGCCAGCCCCTGTCTTCCAGCAGGTTCTCCTGTGGTTAGAACTGGGAAAGTCTTCCTGAGGAGGAAGTATTAAGCTGTTTCAAGGAGAAAGAAAAGTAATAGAAGTCAGGAGATAAAGGGCATCCAGTCACCGCTTCTCTGTCTTTCAGATCTTAGACAAACTCTTGGATCGAGAGAGCCAGACGCATAAACCACAGACACTGAGTTCGTTCTACTCATCTAGCCGCCCGGCCACAGCCAGCCAGAGGTCTCCTTCAAAGCATGGGGGCCCATCTGCTCCAGGGGCCCTGCAACCTCTGACCTCAGGCTCTGCAGGGCCTGCTCAGCCAGGGAGTGTGGCAGGGGCTGGGCCAGGCCCCACTGAGGGCTTCACAGAGAAGAATGTGCCTGGTGAGGTGGGGGCACTGGGCAGGGGGGATGTGTGGTATGGAGCTGTGTTGGGCCCCCCTTTCCCAGGCTCATCCCAATGTCCTGTCTTCCCTACGCAGAGAGTTCCCCACATTCCCCCTGTGAGGGTCTCCCATCTGAGGCAGCTTTGACCCCAAGACCAGAGGGAAAGGTCCCCAGCCGCTTGGCTCTTGGCAGCCGTGGAGGCTACAATGGACGGGGCTGGGGCTCACCAGGGCGGCCTAAGAAGAAGCACACAGGTAACAACCCATGGGATGACATGGAGGGAAGGATATTCCTGAAGGTTGGAGTCTGAATTCTGGAGCTTCTGACTTCTGAGACTGTCTTGTCTTGGGGGGGGGTTAGGCATGGCCAGCATTGACAGCAGTGCCCCTGAAACAACGTCGGATAGCTCCCCAACCTTAAGCCGGAGGCCACTTCGAGGGGGCTGGGCCCCTACCTCCTGGGGCCGAGGACAGGACAGTGACAGCATTAGCAGCTCGTCCTCAGACTCCCTTGGCTCCTCGTCCTCCAGTGGAAGTCGCCGGGCCAGTGCCAGTGGAGGGGCCCGGGCGAAGACAGTTGAAGTTGGCAGGTCAGTGGGAAAAAACATCCTTGTCTTCTGACCTGGCCCACCCCGAGAGCCACATCCCTAGTGTAATCCAACTGTTGTCTCCGTCAGCATCCTCACTTACCCTGGTCTTTTCCAACCTACCTGGACACCCACCTCAGAGAAACCCCAATCCCTGTCCCTACCCCATTGCCCCTTCAGGTACAAGGGCCGCCGTCCTGAGAGTCATGCCCCCCATGTACCCAATCAGCCGTCAGAGGCAGCTGCACACTTCTACTTCGAGCTGGCGAAGACGGTGCTGATCAAGGCAGGGGGCAACAGCAGCACTTCCATTTTCACACATCCATCTTCCTCAGGGGGCCACCAGGGTCCTCACCGTAACCTGCACCTTTGCGCCTTCGAGATTGGGCTTTATGCCCTTGGCCTGCACAACTTTGTTTCTCCCAACTGGCTCTCACGTACTTACTCTTCCCACGTTTCCTGGATTACAGGTAAATCCAGCATCTTGATTTGGGTATGGGAAGGGGATTAATCGATGATGATAAGTCATATCCTTGTGGAGTTACTGACCTGATAGGAGAGATGCCATTCCCATTCCCATTGCCCGTGCTAACCCCACTCTGCTTTTCTCTCCTTTTTCTGAAGGCCAGGCAATGGAGATTGGCAGCGCAGCCCTGACTATACTGGTAGAATGCTGGGATGGGCACCTGACACCCCCTGAGGTTGCATCCCTGGCAGACAGGGCATCACGGGCACGAGACTCCAATATGGTGAGGGCAGCGGCGGAACTAGCCCTAAGCTGCCTGCCTCATGCCCATGCGTTGAACCCCAATGAGATCCAGCGGGCCCTGGTGCAGTGCAAGGAGCAGGTATTTTTACAGGCAATTGCGGACCTGCTTTGGGGCATCTGGGCAGGGAGGTTGGGTCCAGCTCCTGATTCCCATATCCTGGAGTTCACAAACTATCCAGTTGGTCCTCTCATGGTGACACTTGACATAGTAATGTGCTTTCACATCTGTTACATCCTTTACCTTACAACTCTGAGAACAGGATTATTCGTATTTCATAGGTAAGGAAATGTGGCCTATAGTCTAGGGACCAAGATGATCACCAGGGTGGAGTCCTTAGGGGAAGCCTCAGGGAGATGATGGGACTTGGCTGGGAGTAGCTAAATTAGTTTGGAACTGGGACTGGTCAACAAGTGTTTGTTCATTGTGTGAAGCATTCACTGCTCTGACACTGACTCTGGGCACTGGCCCTGACCTTAGATGCCTCCCCAGGAACCAGCCAACTCTGAGGGAGACATTGGAATGTCATCTAGAACTGTCCCTGAGTAAAGCCCTTCCCCCTTAACCCTCTGTGCCCCTCCCTTCCAGGATAACCTGATGTTGGAGAAGGCCTGCATGGCAGTGGAAGAGGCGGCTAAGGGTGGGGGCGTATACCCCGAAGTGTTGTTTGAGGTTGCTCACCAGTGGTTCTGGCTATATGAGCAAACAGCAGGTGGCTCATCCACAGCCCGTGAAGGGGCTACAAGCTGTAGTGCCAGTGGGATCAGGGCAGCTGGGGAGGCTGGGCGGGGGCTGCCTGAGGGCAGGGGGGTCCCAGGGACTGAGCCGGTTACAGTGGCGGCGGCGGCAGCAGCAGTGACAGCGGCCACAGTGGTGCCAGTCATCTCGGTGGGGTCCAGTTTATATCCGGGTCCAGGACTGGGGCATGGTCATTCCCCTGGCCTGCACCCCTACACTGCTCTACAGCCCCACCTGCCCTGCAGCCCTCAATACCTCACCCACCCAGCTCACCCCGCCCACCCCATGCCTCATATGCCCCGGCCTGCCGTCTTCCCTGTGCCCAGCTCTGCATACCCACAGGTGAGTATGCAATGTTCTACTGGAGATTGGGCATGTGGGAGCACATTGGGAGTTCACGGGGGGTTGGAGTGGGGTACTCCGGGAGGATAACAGCGCTGTCCAAGAGTCCTGGTGAGGTGGCGGGAGTCGGGGGACCCAGCCCAACTAAGATAAGAAATGCAGGATACCCAGCTGTGGGATGAACGGGGAAGAGCTACATCCTAATATAATTTGGAATCTCCCTTTTTTTCTTCCCGCCTCGAGGGTGTGCATCCTGCATTCCTGGGGGCTCAGTACCCTTACTCGGTGACTCCCCCCTCACTTGCCGCCACTGCTGTGTCTTTCCCCGTCCCTTCCATGGCACCCATCACAGTACATCCCTACCACACAGAGCCAGGGCTCCCACTGCCCACCAGTGTGGCCTGTGAGTTGTGGGGACAGGGAACAGGTGAATGGAGGGGAGGCACACCGGGCAGGGGACGGGGGGAGGGAATCCTCTCTGTCCCTCTCTGGGCTCTGAGTTCCTCATGTGGCTTTCATCCCACCCTCAGTGAGCAGTGTCCATCCAGCTTCCACGTTTCCGGCCATCCAGGGTGCCTCACTGCCTGCCCTGCCCACACAGCCCAGCCCTCTGGTGAGCGGGGGTTTTCCACCACCCGAGGAGGAGACTCACAGTCAGCCTGTCAACCCGCACAGCCTACACCACCTGCACGCCGCCTACCGTGTCGGTGAGAGGAGGGCCCTTCCTGTGCCCCCACCTGCAGCCAGAGGCTCTTCCGTGACCCCTCCCCACCATACCTCTTAATTGGTTTACTGTGGGGTCAGGTACGAGGCTGAGGTAGAGGGTGGAGGACGCACCCTCACCACGTGCCCACCCTTTTCTCCCAGGGATGCTGGCACTGGAGATGCTGGGTCGCCGGGCACACAATGATCACCCCAACAACTTCTCCCGCTCCCCCCCCCTACACTGATGATGTCAAATGGTTGCTGGGGCTGGCAGCAAAGCTGGGTAACACCTCCCCTCCCCAGGACCATTGTCCGCCCTCACCTGCTCCCCCCACCTTCCCATCCCAGACCTCCTTCCTAGCTCTTGCTCAGAGTTGAGGCCTTGGTCGGGTATGTGTGCGTGCGCGAGGGGCGGGGGGCTACCTCAGCTCCTGGGGTGGAGGGAGGCTCTCTGCCAGGCCAGAGCTGAGATTAAAGTTGGGTCCCTAGGGCAGAGGTGGCCACCCCCGTCTCATGCCCCTCCCCCTGCCCCCCAGGAGTGAACTACGTGCACCAGTTCTGTGTGGGGGCAGCCAAGGGGGTGCTGAGCCCGTTTGTGCTGCAGGAGATCGTCATGGAGACGCTGCAGCGGCTGAGCCCCGCTCATGCCCACAACCACCTGCGTGCCCCGGCCTTCCACCAACTGGTGCAGCGCTGCCAGCAGGCATACATGCAGGTGATAACCCAGGAAGTATGGAGCAGGGTGGAACACCTCCTGGGCAGGCAGGGAACAGATCACCCAGCACGCCAGGGCGGAGGGGCCTGGTTCTGTGCTTAGTGGCTTATCCTCCCCACGTCTTCCAGTACATCCACCACCGCTTGATTCACCTGACCCCTGCCGACTACGACGACTTTGTGAACGCGATCCGCAGTGCTCGCAGCGCCTTCTGCCTGACACCCATGGGCATGATGCAGTTCAACGACATCCTGCAGAATCTCAAGCGCAGCAAACAGACCAAGGAGCTGTGGCAGCGGGTCTCACTCGAGATGACCACCTTCTCCCCCTGAGTCTGGCCCCCCTAGGGCCCTATACAGGGACACAAGCCTGTGGCTATGGGGACCCCTCACAAAGGGGGAATGAATCTTGGCTGGACAGATCATCCCCACTCAGTTCCCTGGTAGCCCAGACTGGCAGCTGTTCTTGGGGCCAAGATGTCTCAGACCCTAGAAGCCTAGGGTTGGGGGAGACAGCCCTGTCTGGGAGGGGGCGTTGGGTGGCCTCTGGTATTTATTTGGCATTTATAAATATATAAACTTCTTTTTTACTCTCGTCTGCCTGGGCCTTTCCCTTCTTTCCCTCCATGTGTGGATGAACCTTGAACTGGGGCAGAGGAAAATCTTGATACTTGCTTTTATTCTAGGTTTCTCCCACTCCAGTGAGGCAGACAAAACACAAAAATAAGGATGTTTATTAAACTCATTTCTAGCCCACAGCTAGGGCTCATATTCAGCTCTATGAGCCACCGTCTGACCTCATCCCCATTCAATGTGAATGACATTAGAGAGGCCGGGCCACAGGTAGATCCCATTGATCCCACAGTAAGGGGTCCCTCCCACGGCCACTATAGATAGATACACTGCTGGGGATAAAGAGGGAAAGCACTGGATTAATACGTTCCTCTACACCCTGCCTGGACCCTCTCATTTCCCCCCCACCTTCCAAGACCATGGGCCAAAGGTGCCTAGTACCATCTTGTGGGGTATCAAGGGAAGCCCCTTTATTAGACCCCAGAGCTATGGGAAAGGGATGCCCTTCGCTTCTTAGCCATCCCAGGCCTCGAGGCCACTGAGGTAGAAGGGGGAGGGGCCAGGCCACTCTAATCCCCCTTGTGGGCCCTGCTCTGGGCTTGCCCCTTAGGGAAGAAGGGGGCTTTTGCTGGTACGGGAGGCTGATACATCAGCCCGGACTGGAATGCTGCAGTTCTTCCCGAAGCCACGAGGGCACTGGCTGTCCAAGCCGGCTCAGCAGCTTCGACAGCTCCAAATTATGGTTCCGGAAAAAATCCATAAGGAAAAGGCGGGACTAACAGGAGAAAAATGAAGTCAGAAATGGTAAGGAGTGGACAAAATCAGATCTTACAGGTGGAAAGGGATACCCTGTCCCTGGCTTTGCTTACCTCAGTGTCCATATATGGGTACTTCCGGCCTTTGCTCTTGCCTAGACAACGAGTCTTGCCACCTTCAAGTCCCTGGCACCAGAATCCCTTATCTTCATCAAACCTGCTCAACAAGAAGAGGCCATTAGGTGACAGAAAAGAAATCCAAGCCTCATAAATGTACACTACCTCTCCCAGCCCAGAGGGACACATGTCTCTCCTTGCAAGACAGGGTAAATCCATGTCTCTTCCAATCAGACACGGTCAACCTGCTTCCCCATTTCCCCCAGAGTCATCCTCCCCTGGGTCATGCTCTCCCACCTGAGGGTCCGTGTGTAGTTCAGAAAGGGTGTGATACCCAGGAACTTCTGGATGCTCTCCATTGAGGCAGCTGGGTTGGTACGCAGTTCTTGCCCATCCACAATCAGCAACTAAAGGGACAGGGATGTGGTTCCCTCTGTATTCCTTAGAAGCCTCTGGGCTGAAGGGAAAAGGAGGGGAAGGGGACCCCCATGTGGGCTACTGGGGAACTGTACCTGTCCAGAGGGGTAATATGTCAGCCAGCGTTGCAGATGGGTGGAATAGTAGCCAGGGACAAGACAACGGTCCTGTAGGGAGCGAAGTGCCAGAGGGGCATGGGAGGAGGCTGAAATCACCTGGTAGAAGGTATAGTTCAGAGCAACTGGGTCTCCATGTGCTCGCTGATGCTGAAGGACAAGGAACAGGAAGGCAAGGAATTGGTGATTTGACAGCATTGTTCTGCCCTTCCTCTTAGTCTAGTGAACAGACAGCATAGGCACCCCTCCCCAAGGCACTAGCTTAGTTTCCCTACCCTCATTCCTTTCTGTCTCTCTAGCAGTCACCACCTCTCTTAAGTTCTGATGTGTGCCTAGCTTCAGGCTCACCTGGTACCAGGAGTAGGCCCTGTCAGCAGGGTTGGTGAGCACAGTGATGATCTTGGCTCGCGGCAGGAGGGCAGCCCCCCGACGTGGTACAACCTCTGAGTCAAAGTAGGTGGCACTTTTTTCAAACAGGAAATCAGTGCTGGCATTAGAAGGGACAGGGAAGAAATCCATGTACCTAGGAAGTAGTAGAGAGGAGAGGCAGAGAATTTGCAGAGTGAAGGGGCCGGACATCTGTGCTGGGAGAAGCTGGAATGGGGTATTTTAGCGGAAGGGAGTGTCCTGAGAAGCATTCCAGGTCTCACCAGTCAATGCCCTTGTGGTAATTAGGGCCGCTGAAAAACTGAATCTCCTCAAAGGTGCTGGGGCTCGGGAAACTGCTAGTCACAGCTGGGTGCAGGCTCAGGAAGAAGTGAATAGCTGTGGTCCCTAAATGAGAGAGAAAGTCCAGGCCATTGTGGGAGAGAATCCACCTCAACAACATCAGCTTGAAAGAGGTGAGAAAATAATCACTCTGGGTGGTAAAATACCATTTGGCCAAACTAGAGCGAGAAAAGGAAAGCCTGAGAGAGGCCCAGGGAAGGGTTAAAATGGTAGTTCTCAGCCTTGATTGTGCATCAGAATCACTTGTGGGTCTTTCAAAAAAAACTCAACAGATGATTCTGATGTATAACCAGGTTAAGAATCACTCAAGGGACTGGATTAATGAGGGGTGGGTATGAGAAGGGAGTTCCTTGGCCAAAGAATTCTTTGGGTTTAAGGCAAGGCAACAGAAGTTGCCTAAGGATGATTCACCTGTCTTCTGGGGTCCCACAATGAGGAACTTGGGGAGCCGATCACAGGTTTTCTCCTTGGACCAGATATCTTTGTGCCTCTTGTCATCACAGGGATTCTGAAGGTGAGGCCAAGAATCAGATAATCTTTTCCTCAACGGCCACCCCCATCACATCTCTAGGTCAGCCTGAGCTCCACCTATACCTGCCAAAGGGGGCTTCGCTCTTGAGGGAAGAGGTCAAAGTACTTCCGTGCGAGAGGGACAGGAGGAAGGGTCTGTAGGCGCAGCCGTGTCCAGCACTGGAGAAAGCGCACCAGGCTCTCAAAGGTGTACAGGCCCAGCCGATCATTTCCATAATTAGACAGATGAGTCATAAAGATGCTGATCTGAAAGGGGGTGCCTGCATGTCAGATTTGGAGAGCCTACCCCACTTCAGAAGTGGGCTTGGTGAGCAAAAGTCTCAGTATGCAAACACTTTGGCTGTCCAATCTTCTAGCCCTTCCTCTCGGCACCTTACCGGATTAAGCAGCACTGTCAGGAAGAGTTCTCCACCTCGGATGCTCCGGTCTAGTTCGCGAGAGCCTCCGGGATACTCATTATAGAAGATCGTGTGAGTGAAGAGTCCACACGTCTGCCGTGGCAGCACCTGAAGGGAAAAGAACAAACAGGGACAGATGAGATTTGAAAGGTAGAATGAGAAGTAGATTAAGGACAAAAGACCTGAGGCATTAGGATTCCCTGGGTTTGTAGAGGACTCAGTCTGAAGTTACAGCAACAAAGCTCTTACTATGTGCATTATGACTTTTCATCTCTCTACCCCTTATTATATGGATGAACTTGGACAATGCAGGTTGGAGGCTGTCCAAATGTGGGAGTTTGATTCAAGTCCGTATTGGGAGTCCCTCACCATAATGCCATTGTGAATGAAGCCACGGCGGTAGCGGGCAGGGCGGAGATGGGGATACTCCTCAGTGCTGGTCACCTGGATGCCCCACACGGATTTCCAGGCCTCATAGAGCTGTGTGTGGATGGGATACACGCCGGAGTGGTGGGGGGCCACAGCGTACCCCAGATCCGTGGGAATCCCATGCTCCTGGGAATGGCAGAGACTCTCACCAGGACCTGGTGAGGTTTGGGGAGTAGAGGGTAAAGAGGGTGGGGATGCCTCCACAGAAAGTAAAAGGGAAAGGGTGGGGAAAGGGTACCCCATTAGGGTAAGGTTGAGAAGGAAGCATCATCTTTGGGAGAAAGTATGGGGAAGAGATCCAAGGGTCTCACCAGAGCAAACTGTTTGTTGAGCCTCATCTGGTCAGCCAGCACGGAGCGATTGTGGAACAGGTGTGGCTGCATGTGGCTCCACATGTGGGGGAACCACCAGAACTCTTGACGGTGCTTCAGCAGCATGTCGTCCCCTGCATCCTCCTCCTCTGTCCCTATGACCACACACTGACCACTGACCACAGCTGGTCAGCCCCTGTGCCCTCCTTTGTTCTGTAACAACACTGACCACTTTCCATCCTTGGGACAACATTGCTGACCTCTGCCCACCTAAGACTGTCTATTTTCCCGATTGCCAACCTGCCCTCCAGCCGCCCATGCTAACCTAAATTCATACCCACTGCTAGCTCCTCATAGCATTCTGACCCCAAACCTTGCCCCTTTTCTCCAACCTGTCTGCCCAGGAGGATGGACAGTGAAGAGACAGATCAAACTAAGACTGATACACTGAAGGAGCAGGGGAATAAGCTCACCAGTATGATAGAACTTGCCCGAGAAGCCCAAGTTGAAGGTGAAGTTGGGGACTAAGGTCCTGAGTTTGTTCTGGGTGGTCAACAGAGCCTGGGAAGAGTAGCAGGGACATGAGAAATCAGGAGACTAAGAAGGAGAAAAATGAGAAGTAGCATTCTTCTTGCCTAGAAAGGGTAGGGAGCGTACCTATGACAAGCTCAGAATCAAGGAAGGGAGTCTGATAGGACAGAGCTTGAAACAGCTTCTAAGGAAAGAAATGAGTCAGGAAAAAGAAAGACTGACCTCAACATCAGCCACCTTCATGCGGGTTCCTTCCTTGCCCACAAAGATGTCATCGATGTCTACCAAGATGTAACGGTCAAGGTCCAAGCAGAGGCGCTTGCCAGTGAGGTACGCAACAGCATCGACAAAAACGAGTTTGTGAAGCCAGAAGGAGAGGCCATGGCCAAAGAGCACCCGCTGGATGCCATCGTGAAGCCCCAAGTCCTGTACCACAGTGGGAAGCCGGGCCCGGCGAGGCAAGGGTCCTGGCACCGGGGGCTCAGCTGGTCGAAGGCTGGCAAGAAGCACTGGTTCATATGTGCTATGATTGGATTGGAAGATGGTCCAGTCATCACCGGGCAGTGGACCCGGCTCCAGGCGGCTGGGGCGTGTGAGATGCAGTAGTGGGGCAGAAGGATTCACTTGGTAGTCCTGGAGCCCCAAGTTTGAATGTAGAAAAAGGGGAAAGCCCTTGAGCTGGGCACTCAGTAAGCTATGCTCATGGGCTCGGAAAAAGCCAATGATGCCCACACCATACTCCACACAGTACCGGTCTAGCAGTTCCCGACTCCAGGCATCCAGGTTGACATACTTGAGCAGGTTCTCATAGATGACCAAGACATACCGGCCACGGGTATGATCAGTCAGTGTGGGCATGTCCCCTCGGCCAGGTGCCAGCTCAGTGCTATAACGAAAACGGCTAGACTCCAAGATGGCCACAATCTCCTGCCCCAGCTGTGAGTATGCGCTCTCCACAAACACAAGGACCACGGGTTCAGTTCGTGCTGTCTCTGGCGGCCTGGGGGGCCGGGGTGGGACTGGCGGCCGTACAGGGCCAGGACCAGCTGCCCCACCACTACTGCAGTCTCCCAAGGGCAGGGGCAATGGTTCCTTGGCCTTGGGGCTGGTGGATACGTAGTAAGCCAAGAAGCCCATGGAGCCCAGACTGAAAGCGATCAGCAGCAGTATGAGGCGGTGCAGTTCCAGCTGCCGAGCTGGGCGTACCACCTTCCACAGCTTGAGCATGGCGGGGGAGGTGAGGCAGGGATGGGGACCACCTTAGGGGATGGGAGGTAGGAGTTCTATAGGCTGAGGCTCTCTTGGGAGGGTAGAAGGATATGAAAAGAGGGGAAAGGGATTCCTGCAGGGTCAGTTCCCTGAAAAGGTGGAAACAAGTCCCCTTAGTATAGGATAGGGGAGGTAGAAGGGGCAACAGGGGGCAACTGGACAGAGTCCATTGGTCTCAGGTCACCATGGCCCACTGGCCCATGGCTTCAGGATGCAAATCTAGCCAGGCTCCACCTTTGGTCCCGGCTGAGCTCCTCACATCAGAGGTCAGCAAAGTTCACAATCTCTGCCCTCACTATCTGTAAGACAGAAATCAATGGGTTACTTCTCTCCTTGAAACTGTGTCATTAATCCATTCCCCTCTTCACTCCATTTCTCTTACCTCCTGCTCACAGGATGGTTTGTTCTCCAAAAAAAAAAGCTCCTGTAGAAGAACAACATAATCTGAGTCTCATACTTTAGCTTCACAGCCTGTTCCCTTTCTTAGAATACGGTCTAAATTCTCCCCCCTGAGCTAAGCTCAGAATTGAAGCAGTATATCCAAGGTCTGGAAGAGAACAAATTTCCCATCGACATGAGGCCAAACAGCCCAGGAGGCTGAAAATGAACCTGCTCTGAAAGGAGTTCCCAACCCGTGACAGAGCAGTTGGTCAGCCAGCAGGAGCTCTGTTCATCCTGTGAAGAAGGGACGGAAAGCCCCAGAAGTCCCGTGCTCCAACAAAATATCAGATAAGAGGAAACTCATGTGTCTGTTAATGTTCCTCATCTATCAAACCCAACACCACAGGCTAACGGCACTAACGAACTTGCAGTCAGGTGGGGAAATTCAAGAGGGAAGAGAAATGGTGCTAGCTAATCATTCTATTACCTTCCAAATCCAGAACCTGGGGATTCTCTTTTCCATTGCTTGTGAAAAATTACCCATCCCTCCCCTTTATTTCACTTGTGCCAGTGTCAAGAGGGGTGATAACAATGTAGCCCCAGAGCAGGCCACATCACTGGCACCTAAGAAAAGCTAGAGAGCTGAGTCCAGAGTTTGTCTCCCTATCCACTCCAGTTCTCTTTCCTAACTTAGCCTAGGTGGTACTACACCCTCACCCCTGAACAGCTCAGAAGGGTCCTGAGCTAGCCTGGAGAGACATGAGGGATTGAGTCCTGTTACAAAAACAGAGCGAACTGAATGGGGCTGCATGACAGAGAGCAACAGGAGCTTAAGTAGTATACAATCAATTATAGAGAAGGAGTAAGAACAGTCGGATCAGAAAATAGTTTTAAGGAGACCTAATTCCGGAGACTTTTTTCCTTAAGTAGATAGACTACTTCTAGAAGCTTTACCGTCACTCTCCCCACCTTAGTCACTCGAAGTAAGGCCAGTGGCTGGAGATCTCTCTCTACCACACGTCCCACACACACACATACACATCTCCGGGTGATTAAGCAGAGATGGGGTCCTTCAGAACTGAGAGAGACAACTTAAGAACAGTTCTGCTTTGGCCTGGGTAAAACTAATCGGCGTGAAAAGAGAGCTGGGAAAGGATCAAAATGGTGATGGGAAGGGACGAATCCTAAGAATCAGAGGAAACTTTTTGGGGCAAACACAGTAGTGAGAAGTCACTGTGGGGAAGCAGATACTGGAGGTGTATCACCCACGAGGTTAAGAATAAGTTAACATTTACTGAGGGCTTACACTTTGCCAGACATTCTTCTAAGAACTTTCCATATATCTAATGCTCACACCGGCCCTAAGAGGTAACTAATATTCCCATTTTACATATGACTAATTTGAGGTCCAGAGAACTTAGCAACTTGCCCAGGATCACACAGCTCAGTCAGTGGAGGAAATGGGATTCAACGTCAGGCCTGTCAGGCTCCAGCCCTGGTCTTAACCACTGCATTTTAGCTTCGAACCTAGAAGCAGCAGCAATATTCAGGAAAGGGGTGATGAGGGAGTACTGGGGTGGGATGATAAATGCTGAAGCGGGACCGCGGCGGGGAGGGGGCTAAAGGTGCGGGCGCAGCAGGAGGAGAGCAACAGAGGGGGGTGCTGGGGAAGGCGGGGGTGTGGGCCCCGCGCTGGGAGACCAGCACTGCAGATGCCGCGGGAGGAGGGGGACAGAGCAGCGACACGGGCGTGGGGGGCTGGCACACGGGGGTCGCGGATGGAGGGCCCTGCTGGTGGGAACATGGGCTTACAGGTGGGTATGGAGAGAGTCGGGCGTGGAGCATTAAAGGGGATGGGGCAAGGGGCGCGTGGAGGAATCTGCGGGGACATCGGGGCGGGCGTCGGGCTGGGGGGAGCCCCGAGGGGAGGAGGAGCCCCGTGCGGAGGGGACGAGCCGAGGGGAATGAGGCCACTGCCAGGGCGGCCTGCGGAAGGGACGGGGGAGGGGAGCGCAGGCCGCCCCGAGGGGCGGCCGGGGCGCCCCTGCGGGAGGTTTCCGTGGCCACACTGAGGGAAGTCTGTGAGGGGAGAACTGCGGGGACCGTGGCTGGGGGCCACACTCTGAGAGGGGGGTCTCCTCGAGGGCGGCTCACCCGGCGGACTGGGCGGCGTCCCCGCTGTCCCCGGGCTCCGCCACGTCCCGGGGATGCCCGGCTTCCCTGCTCTCGGGGCCTCGGGCTGCGTCGCGGCGGCTCCGCCATCTCCGAGCGAACGCTCTGCCGCAGCCGGGCCCAACCACCGCTCCCAGCGGGGGGAGGCGGCGCGCAGCCACTCGCGGCCCCACTTCGGGTCCCCCCCGCCTCCGGGCCGGGCCGCCGCGCTGCCGAGGTGCCGGGCCGCCGAACGGTGTTCCGCAGCTCTCGGCCGAGCCGCAGCCTCATAGACGGCGGGCTCCGAGCGCCCCGGCAGAGGCGCCCCCCTCCTTCCCGCGCAGTGGCACGGTCCGGCTAGCGTCGGCGCCGAGGGTCCCGGAGCCGGGGCGGGCCGAGGGTGTGGGCTCTTCCACTCGGCCCGGCGGAGGGGGAGCCGGACCGGCCCACTGAGGGGCGGGAGAGCTGTCCTGGACGCGGGCGGGGCCCGGGGGCGGGGCGAGACTCAGAGCTCACCCGCTAAGGGCCCGAGTTCTTCCCCCTGCTCCAAACTCGCCTCAGCAGACCGGGGGACTAATTGGAGGCTGATCAGTTTATGAGGAAGTCTTATTCTAAAATGAGCCCAAAAGGGGTGGGAGAAGGTACATCTCTCCACCTGAAGCCTTGAAACCCAGGCTGTTAAATCTAAGCCTCCGGCCACAAGCCTCCAACAGCAGTAACACAATGGAGTGTTTAAAGGTTATTTTATTAAATATCTTCAAGGTTTCATTGTAACAAAGCTATGAAGGGTCTACCAACATTCAGAACAAACACTATTTTTAAATTATTTCTATGTCATCATGCAAAAATTCTGCATCAAATGCCTTCTCATTTCCTGTTTAAAAGGTGATTTTTTTTTTTTAATAGTCTATTGTCTATAGATGCTGACATTAGCCCCAGAAGAGGATTAAGAATGCTAAGAAGTGGGGCTGGAGCAGCCATATGAAGCTATGGGTCTTAATGAACTCTAAGACCATTTGTCTTCAAGCCAGCAAAACCAAACCCTGTGGTGAAGGTGTCTGCGTGCTGGTACTGCAGGCTGCAGGGCAGGAAAGGGTTAGGGCCCAGGGGCTGGGGCATGCAGGAGGTGCTCAGAGGAGCCTGGCTAAATCCAAGCACCAGCACCTGTGAGTCTGCTCTCTTCTCACCTGGCTCCAAGGTAAACCTGTAGCTTTGCCTCTTCTCCCAGGTCCTGTGACTCCTTAAGGCAGTCCAGGGAGCTGGGGCCTACCCATCTATCCCCCAGTAGTGCAGACATTTCTGCAGACAGGTCTGCACAGTTGTTTTGGGGGAAACCAAGGCCATGACCAATTGCTCCTCCATTATCTTCTCTGCTATCTGCTTAGAGTATAAATTTTTCCCTCCTGGAATGGAACTCCTTGAGCACAGAGAGGGACAATGAATGTAGGAGCCTTGGCTCTGGACATCTCTTTTGGGTACATGCAGGTGAGAGACAGGGTGATGCCCATGCAGATTGTCCAGCAGTTAAGTCTATACTTCAGTTGGTCAGTAAAGAGGTCTCTTTGTAGAGGATACCTCTTCTTGCCCGAGTAGTCAGGTCAATCTCAAAGACAGGAAAAGAGATGGGCGTGCAGCAAGGGAAGAGTAAGGGAGGCAGCCCCGAGGGCAGCCTGAATGCATAGAAACAACCATCACTCAATCCCACTGCCTCACTCTTCCCATCCCACAGGGGCACTTGGCAGAGGGCCCAGGTCCAGATGAGGGTCAGCACAGGAACCACCAGCATGAAAAGGCAAGACAAAGATGATCCAAATCAGCACGGAAACAGAACTGCCAAAGGCAGCAGGGGGAGCCAAGACCAAGGCCCGGCTCTCTCCTTGCTAAGTTATAAGAAAACAAACACGAAGCAAAGCGGCAACCCCTCCCACTTCCCAGCTGCAAGGATTGGGCCTCAATAGCAAGGCCCACGTGCATTGTGCATCCTATAGAAATGGATGAGTCAGTGAGTGCATGTCAGACTAACACGAGGTTTCTCATCAGCTTTGTAGCGGACACACTTCTGCAGCACCAATTCTCTTCCCGTCTATACTAAATGGTACAGTACAGCAATGTCCGGGCCCTGCTTCTCAGTCCTGAGCCCACTGTTTCTCAGCTGCCTCCACGGCAGGCTGGGAGCTCCGCGTTCTCTCCCAAGTAGGTCTGTTGGCCATGATGTTCTTCATCAGCCTCATTCTAGGCGTGTATACAAATTCTGAAGACGTCCATTCCTAGACCTGGGGCAGGTAGGCCACCTCAGGGGCTGTAATCACATCACAGCCCCCAAAGTTCTGTCAGAGTTCTTGCCTGGTCCCCTGAGTCCATGGAGGCCAGAGGCTAAGCTCACCTCTTCAGGGCTGGTAGGTGAGCCCATTGCTTGTGCCAGGATGGGCATCACACAAACTCCTGCTTTCTTGCTAGCCCAAGGGCTATTGGTGGTTTTGAAACGCATCACGGTATGGATCCCATTTTTTTTTAAACGATCTTCTTTTCTTAAATGTAAAAAACACCTCGGTACAGCAGAGACAGACACGAAGGGCGGGCGGGAGGGCTGCATGCAGGGGCGTGCATTGGCTGCTGCCGCTTTGTAATTTAATTGTTTTAAACCTCAAACGAACAGGACTGCCGCTGTCACTCAGGCCCTCCAGAGCCACTGGCTGCGAAGGTTTGACCTCCGGCTGGGATCTCCTTATGCCCCTGTCAAACAGAACAGACATGGTAACAGAACAGAGGACAATATCCACACAGAGGAGTTCCAGAGACTTAAACACACTACATACGTGGTCAAGTCTGCCTGAGAGGGTGGAGGATGGGGGAGAAGCTAGTATTTAAACATAACACTGCCTCACATTTGCTTACTAAGTGCTTTACTTACAAGTATATTATTTAATCCTCACCACAACAAAGGAGGTAGGCACCGCTTCTTTTTTTTGGGCTGCACTGCAGCCATGTGGAATCTTAGTTCCCTAACCAGGGATCAAACTCGAGCCCTCTGCAGTGGAAGGGCAGAGTCTTAACCACTGGACCGCCAGGGAAGTCCCTCCTTCTTCCTTATTGACAGCTGAGGAAAATAAGGCTTAGGGAGGGGAAGTAACCTGTCCAAGGTCACCCAATTTGGAGTCAAGGAGCCAGACCCAAGTCTGTCTGACTTCAGAGCATGACTTATTACAACCACCACACTGTCCAGCCTTCACTACTCTTCTGGGATGGCCCATGTATCCTCCCCCAATGCCACCTCTCAACCTCTTCTTCCTCCTCTGACCCCACTTGTCCCAGCCGCTCCCCAACCCCCCACCAGGTGCACCTGTGGCTGAGCTCACTGCAGCGGTGCGGCAGGGGCCCCTGAACAGTGATAGTGGACATTGAGCCACTTGCCATCCCGGCGGTGCCAGACCCGGGTCTCCTCTGACTGGCTGGTGCGAGGCCGGCCCTGCCCATCGATGTACTGGGTAAGGCGGATGTAGGCGATGCAAGCCGCGTCCTCTCCAATCACGTGGACGTGCGGGTTCAGGATGGTGGTGTGGATGGGCTTGCTGTTCTTGGACAGGACTGTAGGGGGCAGGGAAGGGTGGGGTAGGTAGGAGGGTGTCAGGCCTGGGGACTGGCATTTTCCTCCCAGCCTGCACTTCCCAAGTCTCACCCTCGCTCCAGTAACCATTCTGTGAGTCTCCAAGTCCCCATACACCTTCCAGAGGCTGGGAAACCCCATCAGATTAGTCTTGATTATTCAAAAGGAAGAGAAAGGTGTGGAACAATGATAATAGCAGCTACTGTTTAAATCAGACATTGTGCTGGGGGGTTTTACACGCATGAGTCATATTCCTTGGTCAATATTATTTTCTTCTTTATAAGAGAAGGAAATAGGCTCAAGGAGGTTAAGTAATTTGTCCAAATCACACAACATTTGAACTCAGGACTATCTTAACAAAAGCCTATGATGATCTTTCTACCCTAATAGGTGGGTTTAGATTTCATAAGGGTTGGCTTGTCCCTAATTAGGGCTATAGAGCAAAATCAAGAACTTAAAATATTCAAAATTGATTTCTGATTTTAAAAAGATCCAAAGTTAAAAAAAAAAAAAAAAAGTCACCAAAGCACCAAGCTCAGGATATTCCCAGGGTTCTCAGGTCCTCTGGGGGAAAACCAAAAGAAGATGGGTTGCCATTATCAGCAAACACTATGGATTGTGTTGCTTTTATTGAGATTCATATTTTACTTCAATTCAAATATTAGGGGCTACATGAGACCTTTTGGAGAGCTTCTATAAATTCTGGAATTGCTTCTGGCTGACAGAATTACCTAGATAACCTAGGGTTTATAACTGCAGCTAAGACATGGAGAGGATGGCAGTTAGTAGAGAAAATAGTGAGAAAATAAAATCCAGGGCAGGATCCTTTCCCAGGATAAAGTGGGAAAGATGAGAAAAAAATAAGAAGGGGGACGGTCTTAGTGGAAAGAAAGATGGGAGGAGGAGATGAATCAGCTTCTTATCCTCTGGGACTTCCAGGAACTGTCCAGAGCATATACCCTGCCCCCCTGGCTCCCAGCCAGGACTCCTGTCTCCCTCGCGGCTAGGAGGACCCTAGCCACAACTTCCGATCTCACAATCACCAACAGCGCCCTGTTACTTGCTTGCACATTCTTATCCTGGTTTTAATTTCCTCTATTCTGAAACCTGCAGACACAGAGCTGAGATCATTTCAACCTAACCTCGCATGGTTTCCAATCGTCTTGGAACAAGGCAAGGCTTAAAGAAATACAGTGGCCTTGATTATGGCAACTGGCATTGGCACTGCCACGAGGCAGCTGCAGAATGGAGGGGCAGGCGGGGCTGTGGAGACGGCCCTTTGAAGGTGCCAGTTGAAGACCATCCTCAGGGCCCAAGGGGGCAAGCACATAGACCAGGGTGCGGCAGGCAGGTCCAGTAAGGGAAAAGCGGGCAACTGGGAAGAGGACAAGGTGAGTGGGGACAGAGGCAAGGGGGTGAGGGGCAGGCAGGAGTATCTCAGCAGCACGAACCCACTCACGATTCTCAAAGTAAAACTTATGGAAATCCATCCCTTCCACGAGGTTACCGAGGGCCTCAGGCTCAAAGGAAGTGAGGCCTGGATCACAAATCTTCCTGCAGGGGGGGAAAAAAAAAGCAGCCCATCAGTCTTGTATGAGAATTACTCGTCTCTCTTCCCCATCAGTGGTGTCTGTCCCACAGCAAGTTATCTGTGGGCTGGGCCTGACAAGACGGCTGAGATCTTAGAGCCCTGCCTGCCAAGCCACTTAGCTCTGCCCTTTCAGCCCACGGCCCAGACACCACAGGCGGGCTCAATCACTGATGTTTACCTGGAA